GCGGGACCCCATCCCTACGGGGCACGCGCTGCATGTTCTTTTGTATTCTCAGGGAGTCATCCTCAAACGTGTAATTGTCGTCACGTTTGGGTTCCTCAGGTTTGCATGTGGAGGAAGTCTCAAGCGGGAGCCTCATCCATGAGTGAATTGCGAGGGGGTCTCAGGCAGGAGCCCCCCCCCTATGGAGCCCGCACTTCATGTTCTTGACCCCAGGGGGTCATCCTCGATCATGTAATTGTCGTCACGTGTGGGCGCCCCAGGCCTGAATCTGGAGGAAGTTTCGAGTGAGAGCATCGTCTGCGAGTGAATCAAGAGGAAGTCTCGAGCGGGAGCCCCTCCGCAGGGGGTCCCCGCCTCGGTGTTCGAATCCGAGCGGGTCGTCCGCAAACCTGCAGCTGTCGTGAGATTCTCGGGCTCCTCAGGCCTGGCTCCGAAGGATGTCTCGAGCGGGGTTGTCGTCCATGAGTCAGTCGCAAGGAAGTCTCGAGCGGGAGCCCCTCCTTGTGGGGCCCCCGTGTCCATGTTCGAATCCGAGCGGGCCATCTGAAACCTGTACGTGTCACGTTTGGGCTCCTCAGGCCTTTGAACCACTTGTAACGGCCGCGTCGAGTCCGAGCGGGTCGTCTGAAACCTGAGCAGGGGCGGCGTCTGTGAGTGAATCGCGAGGAAGTCTGGAGCGAGGGCCCCATCCGTATGGGGTCCCCAGTTCCATGTTCGAGTCCGAGCGGGTCATCTTCATCCTGTAACCCCACGACGGGCGGTGTTTCACTATTTTCGGCCTCTGGGGGCGGCAACGGGACCGTCAAAAAACTATTCAGGATGAACAGCCGGTCCCCGGGAAGGGGTCCAGCCCTTTTGGGGGCGACGGTGCGAACAGAAACGCGACGTCGGGGCTCTGGGACTGTTGTCACTCCTGGGCTCCGCAGGCCCGAGCGAGGGCACCGTTTGCGAGCGAATCGCGAGGAAGCCCCGAGCGGGAGACCCTCCCCTGTGGGCCCCCCCCGCCTCCACGCTCGGCCAGAGGGCTGCAAGCCCCAGGGCCGCGGCGGGGCTCGCGGCAGCGCCAGGCTGCGCGCTGCCTCCCGCCCGAGCGCGGCGGTGCCCAGCTCGAGGCCCGCGGGGTGGTCCCGACGATCTGCTCCCGCGCCCCAGCGTCAAGTCGGGCCTGTCCCCCTACAGGGGGATTTTCGACGAAAACTAAAAAAATACCCCCAAAATAATCAAAAACTAGTCCCACAATAGTCCGGGGATGTTTTTTTTTACTATTTTTCAACCTTTTTGGAGCATTTTGGGGGTATGTTTTATTTTTCGTCCAAAATTCCCCTGTAGGGGGACACGCCCGACTTAAGCCCACGCGGTTGTCCCAACGGCCTGGCCCGCGGGGTTGTCCCGGCGGCTGCCCGGCCTGGCCGTCGGAGGACGCGCGCGTGCCGGCCGTGGCGGCGAGGGCGTCGAGGAAGTTCAGAGTGCCTGCCCCGGCCCTGAGGGAAGGAGAGGTGCACGAGAATCGGGCCAGACGAAAGGGGGGGGTACGAAATTTGCTGCATGCAGCTGGGTTCGGCCTCACCGAGGTGCCCATTCTTCGATACATAGCCGCCTCCGGCGGCGGGAGGCGCCGGGAAAATCAGCTACGTGAGCTGATTCTCAACACCCCCCTTTGCTATCCCCCCCTTTCGCCCGACCTGAGAGAATAACAGGTGGGATGGAGAGGGAAAAGGAGGAGGTGGAGGAGAAGGAACAAAAATGACGAGGAGGGGGAGGACGAGGAGGAGGAGGCAGGAGGATGAGGCAGGAGGGGGAGGAGAAGGCAGGGAAGGCGCAGGAGGAGTGAAGGAGAGGATATCCCCAGCCAAGCTGAGCATCATTTTTCATGCGGGGTCTTACCGCTGGAGTTCTTGATTGCGTACAGCAAAGATGGGACCGTGTTGGAGATCCCTGTCCGCAAGGAGGTCCGCCAGCGGATGGAAAGAAAAAGCAGCGCAATGGGAAGGGATGGGCGGGAGGGGTCGGTTGTCAGATATGGCGCGCGCGTCTAGCTTGTCATCCCCTGCGCAAGCGTGCCGAGTCACAATCAAGCAAGCAAGATACAGCCATTGGGCCATGAGAGAGCACCCGACCCGAGTATCTATCCGTCCCTACTATCGCGATTCCGAGTCCCGGTTGCTCTTATGATGATTCGGATAAATTGCGTGAGCCATAGTGGCTACGGACTTGCAGTTTCTCCCTTCCTCCTATCTCCTCCTCCCTTCCCCCTGACCTGTCCCCGCCTCCTTCGTGTCTCCGCAGCCGCTGATCGCGTCATCCGCAGGGCGCGCCTTGCGTACGACGCTCGCGTGCGCGATCGGGGCCCGGGCGGGCCCGCCTTTTTTCGTTAGGGCGGGCGGAAGGAGGGGAAGACCTTCTACATTCGCGAATGCCTATTGAGGCTTCGAACAGGGCGGAGCGAGGTGGGTGGAGCAGCGGGGCCGCTCAACCGTAGATGCGGTGCGTATTGTGGACGTATTGTTTTTGTTTTCCGGTAGCGTTGTGCACGGATTACTCTGCCGGTAATATGCACGATGTTGATGATGATGCTTACAACGGTAAGTGTGTAAACGTCGTATCTCGTGTAGTCGCACTGTAGTCGCGCCGTAGTAGTTCGTAGTCTTTTCCAGCTTGAGGCAGGCAGGTCTCGCCATGATTTCCGCGAAACCGTCGCTTGCCAGGTGGCAGAACTCAGCTTTCCACTTGTCGCTCTTTTTGTCGGTGGTCAACGTTCGAGTCGGTGTGTCCTCCTCGCTACTTTTGTCGTGGTCAACGTCGCTCTCGTCGTCCTCGCCTCGTCGTCGCACTCGTCCTCCTGTCGTCGTAGAAGGTCTGCGGCGGGGATACGCATGGGTCGCTGGCCCATAGATATACGGTTCCGGTGCGCCTCGTAGGGGTCGCGGCCGGACAAGAACGTTTTGATGGCTCCTAAGTGTCCCAGCGCGCGGACCATCGCGTCCCCGTCCCTGCAGTGGCGGCCAATGCTCATGTCTGTGGGCACCATCGTGTAGCCCTCGAAGCTCAGCCTGTGGCTGTCGGAGTCCTGCTCGCGGCCCCCGTTGCTCGACTTGTTGCCCCCGCAGTTTGGCTGGTAGTCGTCGTAGCTGTGTCGGGGGCTATAGAGGCTCCGCTCGTGGACCTTGTAGTTCAGCTGGTGGCTCTGCTAGCTTTGCTGGGGGCCCTTGCTGCTCAGCTCGAGCCCCGCGAAACTCAGCTTCTGGCCTTCTTGAAACTGCTGGTGGCCATCGTAGTCGTGCCGGCAGTCCTCGTAGCCCGGCTTGTGGTCCTCGTAGTTCGGCTTGCCGACTTCGAAGCTCAGCTTGTGGCCCTCGCAGCCCTGCAGGTAGCTCTGGGAGCTCAGCTCGTGGCGCTGGTAGCCCCGCCAGTGGCTCCCGCAGCGCTGGTTGTGGCCTGCGTAGCTCAGCAGGTGGTCACCTCACCGGTGGCTGTCGTAGGTCTGCGCGCGGCCATCGTAGTTGAGCGTGTGGTTCCCCAGGCTCACCGGGTGGCTCTCGGAGCCCTGATCGCGGCCATCGTAGCCAGGCTTGTTGCCCCTGTGGTTCAGTTGGCGGCTCTCGCGGCTGTGTCGGGGGCCCTCGCGGCTCTGCTCGTTGACCTTGTAATTTAGCTGGTGGCGCTGGCAGCTCTGCCGGAGGCCCTCGTTGCTCTGCACGTGTTCCACTTGGCTCAGCCTGTGGTCCCTTCAGCCGTTGTTCTGCTGGTGGCCCTCGTAGCTCAGCAATTTGTTCTCGTAGCCCCCTTGCGAACCTCGAAGCCCAGCTGGCCCTCAAAGTCCTGCTGGTGGCTCTAGAAGCTGCGCTGGTGGTGTTTGTAGCTCAGCGGGTGGATCTCGTAACTCTGCGTCCTCTTACGCACAGCTGGTGGTCATCGTAGTTCAGCAGGTGGTCCTCGTGCCTTAGCTAGGTTGGTCTCGTGGCTCCGCAGGTCGCCCTGGCAGCCCATCTGGTGGCACTCGTAGCTCTGCGCGAGGTCCGTGTAGCGCAGCTTGTGGTCCCCGTGGCTAGCTCAGCTGGTGGCTCTTGAAGCTCAGCAGGGGGCCCTCGCGGCTCTGCGCGTTGCCCTGGGAGTTCGGCAAGGCGTCCGCGCAGCTCTGCTCGTGGCCCCCGTAGCTCCGTGGTGGCCTCCTGAGCCTGCCTGTCCTCCTGAGCCTTCTGGGCCTCGTCTGCCTTCTTGGCCTTCTGGGCATTCCTGGACTCGTAGCACTGGATTTCGGCGGCGCAGTTGCAGAGGGAGTCGTCGTCCTGGCAGTTCTGGTATGAAACACAGTCTCGGTGATCGTGGTAGCACTGGCAGTCGTATCTGCTCTGGGGGCCGCTGCAGCTGGTCAGGCTGGCTCCGGTATCTGAGAAAGGGAACATCAGGTCGCCCAGTATTGTCTTTTGTTGCTTTAGGGGACGATCGTGGTCTGGGTCGGCTTGAAGATGGCCGTGGCTAGGTTCAACCCGCTCTTGCTGTCGTAAGTGCCATCGATGTTGGTGACGTGCGTGGTGTCGTATTGGTGGTGGTTCTCGTACTTGGGCTGCCTGCTGCGAAGCTCGTCTTCGGGCTGCATGCTATGCAGCTCGTCCAGTCCTGTAGTGGACGCCATCATGAAGGCGAACGTAGCGATGGTCATGATGTCGTTGAGGTGTGGCTGTAGCCCGTGTAGGACGAAGTAGCCCGTCCTCTTGAAAGTGGCATCTGCTCGTATTCCTCTATGCATGTATGGCCTCGGCGTACATGCCAGTGGGTCTCTACCGAGGTGGGTAGGTCTCGTACCCATTGGGCGATGTCGTAGATGTCTGGCTTGCAGTTCAGCAGTTGGTGGGTGATCACTTCCTTCAGATGTTCACCCGCAAGTAGATGATCACCTTCTCCCGCATGTTCACCTTCTCGTGGTACGCGTGCTGCCCATCGCGATTGGCGCGTTTAGGCCAGCCCCCCCGAGGACGCGCGCGCGGTTGGGCGCGGCGCCCATGGGCGAGTGCGGGGATAGAGTTGCCGCGAACGGCCTTCCTCCCCCACCCCATCCTCCTCCACCCGCCCTCCCCGTCATCAACCACTTCCCCCTCGTCCTGAAAACCCATCGGCCTCTCCTCTCCCTTCTCCTTTTCCTCTCCAGCGAGGCATGAGGGTGCAACCCCGGCTTATCTGGCGGATGCTGCGGGAGGGGGCATGTGCTCAGGGGAGGCTGGAGCGCCGCTCAACGATGTGGTGTCGACCACACCTGCAGGGAGGGCCCTGTCCATTTCTCGGTGCACCTCGTCTTCGGTTTCGGCTTCAGCTGCCGATGCACCGTGGAGCGCCTTCGGGCCAGCTCGCCCGAGCGGGAGTTTCCGCTCGCACTGGTGCTCCCCCGTTTCCCTCCGTTTCCTCCTCCTCCCCCCCTCCCTGTTCTTCTTCCTCCATTCCCGCCCCGAGGAGCGGTGCACGAATCAGCTGCTGCGCCCGCCCATTGGCGGCCGTGGGTGCGCTGGTGGCGTTTCGTTTCGGGGCGTCGAGGTGCCGAAGCGTCTTGGCATCGCGGCGCCGGGGCCGTTCGAGGCGTCGAGGCGCCGAGGCGTCGAGGCACCGCGGCGTTGAGGCGTTTCGGCGTCGAGGCATCGAGGTGTCGAGGCGTCAAGACTGCAACGTCCGTGGTCGTTGCGGCTCAAGGCATCTCCCGCGCTGGCGCGACCCTTGGGGAGCGCGTTGCTGTTTTGCTTGGCGAGGCTTCTGGGCCGGAGTGCGAGTTATGCCCCCCCTTCCCGACCCCCTTCCTCCACCCCATAGCATGACGTTCCCTCCCCGCCCAGCGCGCCCCCAGGGCTGCCGCGCAGAGCGTCCCCAGGGCGTCCAGCACCAGAGTCTGCCACGGCGGGGGGCGCAGCGTCGCGCTCTGCGCCCACCCCCGCCCCCCCCCTTTTGTTGCCCCCTCGCAGCGCCCGTGGTCGCCGCGAACGAGAGCGCTCTCGTGTCCCCCGGCGCACGGGCCCCCGCAAACGCTCAGCGCGCGCTGCCGGCGCAGTGCGGGCGCGCCGTGGCCGCAGGGAGCGGGCGCGGCCGCCCGGGAGGCCCACGAGGCGCAGGGCGGCGGCGGGCGGCGGGGACGCACCACGGGAGGAGGAGGTATGCCACTCTTCTGGGATATCCTTCTCGTCCCAACACCTCTGAAAGAATATCAACAATTCTTCGCATGCTTCTTGTGACATTGACAATGCTTTCCAAAGCTCTGGGGGCATGTCGTCAATGCCGGCCGCTTTGCCCGTCGAGAGAGCCCGCAATGCGGCATTCAGTTCCTTCATGTTGAAAGTATCAGTCGAAATCGGTAGTGTATATCCCATGTGCTCGTGCCCAGTCGGCGTAAGAGAAGCATGTTGAACTTTCCATTGCACTTCTTCCAAATAATCGGCTAATGTATCTGCACGTTGGGAACTATCCACAATATGTCCTCGCTTGTCTTGAATTCGGACAGGCCGCTTTGGGGGCGTTTTCCGTAGTGCGCGAACTGCTGTCCATGATCCTCCAGCCAACTGCGTTTCCAACCAGTTCTTCTTGTCAGCCCTCACGGATGCTTTGATACGTTTGCTCAGCTTCTGTAATTCCTCCGTCACCCCTTGTGCTTGCAATTGATCGCGTTTGTTCAACATGTCCAGCGTGGCCGTTGTAATCCATGGACGTTTAGGTTCCCTCCCTCGTTGTTGAAAAGCTTCTGCAGCGCATTCCATTGCAGATCTAATATGGCGTGCATGTGCATTCAAATTTGCCGTTTCTGCGGCCGCGAAAGATGCTTCGCAGAACCGCTGGCTATAATATTCTTCCATGTCCTTGTCGTTCATCAACAGGTTGCTGTACTTTGTGCCTATGCTGTGCTTCTGCGGCACGATGTCGAATTCGATGTCCAGTAACATGCGCATTAAGAAATGCCGGGATGCTAAAGTTGATCCGCGATCCGCCCAAATATTTGATATCTTCGCAATTGTTGCGTGGTTCGTTAAACAATGGTCTATTTGAGCGAAGCCTTCTCCCACAGCACTTGTCAACTTCTGTGCCATAGTATGTCACCAACTCTTCAGGCGGGTGTTCGAAAAACGTGTTGGCAATAGCACTCGAGGTTGCTCTGCATGTTTCCAACAACAAATCTCTATTCAGATACTTGCGCCGCTTAGGCCACTTACTTCGAAAGATGAACTCGCCTATGACGTCGTAGTCTCCAGGCTGACGGTCGTACAGCCTAGCGTTGAAATCCCCCAAAGCAATTGTACAGCTGTGTCTCGTCGGTGCCGGCCACCACTTTGTGAGCTGGTCGTAGAATTCCCTCCTCTCTTCGTAGTCGTAATCTGCATGCGGAGCGTACGCGGTAACAATATGAAGTGCGCCGCCACGGACTTTGAGCTTCAGAATGGCCAGCCTGTTCGAAATAAACTTGTAACTAATAACCGACTTGGCCGCGCGTGGGGAGACCAAGAAACCCACTCCGGAGAAGAATCTACCAGCCGGTAGAGGTTGATAAGTGCCGGATAGAATAATAAGATACCCTGAATCCAATTCTTCCGCATGCGCGGCAATGCCTGTCTCTTGCATGCAGAGCACGTTGATGTTATGGCGCTCCATGTGGCGTTGCAGTTCTGGCAGTTTTTCCATATCTTTGCCAAGACCTTCCACATTCCAACTCCCGAGCGACTGCCCTGCCAGAGGTTCGCGGCGACGCTTCGGAACAAGCGCAGGACGAATGCCGGGTGAGGAGGAGGTAGAAGACCAGGTAGCGTGGGTAACAAGTGTTGTGCCCGATCCCAACTGCACAGTACGATCTCCAGACGAATTGTGAAGACCAGGGGTGCTGGCAACTTTGTCTGAATGAGGATCCAGAGCCCGCTCTCCCTGCCCACTGTGTATGTCTCCAGAGACATTCAAGAACGCCAGGGCGGACCCCATGGAGGAAGGGGGGTAATATTGTGCATATGTATGTGTACTTGAGTAGTCTTCTGCATGACTTGGTTTATCTATGGTGAGGTTGGTCATGTCGACGGTAGAAGTACGATCCCGAGAAGATCTTGAGGAACAAGGCGGTGGTGAGACAGGCGGGCTGTAGGTAACTTTGCCCCGAGCTTGAGCGGATCCCGAAAAAGACTGTACTCTGGATGTGTGCTGATGGTCTCCAGCTTCCTGTCCAGAGTTGGTATCTTTGCCCATTCTGGCCATTCCGCCAGAGATGTACACAGCTTCGTTGTCGAAGGCGGAATCCGCATGATGAAAAAGATCGTCTCCGTGACCTTGTCCGCGGATGCGGCTGGAAGACTGCGAACACCCAGGTATCGGTGACGACAGAGGCGACGCAGGAGCCAGAGTCCCAGATGAAGAGGATAGTGGCGCTTTCACGGGTAGCTGCACGAGAACGGTATCTTTGCCAATGCCATAGGGAGAAAGAGGGTCATAATTTGAAGGATTTGTGGATGTGTGCTGACGGTCTCCAGCTTCCTGTCCAGAGTTGGTATCTTTGCCCATTCCGGCCCATTCGCCAGAGATGTACACAGCGTCGTTGTCGAAGTCGGAATCTGCGTGATGAAAAAGATCGTCTCCGTGACTTTGTCCGCGGATGCGGCCGGACGACTGAGAACACCCAGGTATCGGTGACGAAGGAAGCGACGAAGGAGCACGAGTCCTTGGGTATCCATCCAAATACAAATATTGAGAACTGGCTCTAGAAGCGCTCTCGGCAGTGGTATCTTTGTCCAGTCCCGGAGCGGATCCAGTGTAGAAAGCGGGAGGGGTCGGAGGTCGGGTAGGGCGGGGGCACGGCGGGGGGCGGGAGGCGGGGGCAAGGCGGGGGGCGGGGCGGGAGGCGGAGGGCGGGGGCGGAAGGGCGGGGGCAAGACGGGGGGCGGGGCGGGAGGCGGGGCAGGGGGCGGGGGCGAGGTCGGGGAGGCGACCTTCAAGATGTGTATTGGTGTCGGTTGTGGCGTCGGCCGTAGCATCCCCAAATACCGAAGAATTGAATCCTTGTAGTTCGGCCGTGGGCGTTGTGGCATTGAGCCCCGGCAGGGGTCCAAATGCCCGCCGTACGTCCTACTTCCAATGGCTTCCTTTGGACATTCCTTTGGCTCCGCCCTTCATGCCCATAGACGCCCGTTGCACCAATGAGTCGCATTGGTGGATCAGGTCGACAACTTTATGGTGACTGCAATTCAGCCCATGTTTTCCATTCGCCTTCCCACTCCCTCTGTGTATTGGCACCCGTGATGTGAACGGTAAGCGCCAATTCACCTCCCACATATACCTGGTATGGCGCCTCGTCTGTAACCTTAATAACGTATGGATTGCCCAACTCGTTCTTGAGGGTGCGTTTGAGGCCGAAACAGAAATTGCGGGCTGCACGCTCAGTTGGTTCTCTGTCCGGGGTCGCCCATACAGTGTTTGTGCCTCGCTTGATGTTTCCACTCCGTAATAATGCCACCGCAGTGTCACGGTCAAGCATGGCGTCGAACTCTGCGAAAACTATGTTCTTGAACTCGCCCTTCGAATAAATGTTTTTCGGGATGGGGGCGCCCATCGATGACAACCTGTCCCGGAGAAATGCTGCAGCCGCAGTGTCGTCCTCAAAATTGTCCAGGTTGCCAACAACTGCAGTAACTGCACGCTTGCCACTGTAGTGATACTTGTCTGCCGAATGGTGCGATCTTCCTGAGGCCGATCGTGGGGTACAAGATGCTAGAAGGTCAAAGTCTTGTTTGATCTTGTCGAAGCGCTCGTTTATGATGTTCTCCATGTTTCTGGCGTGTATCTGTATGTCCTCTATCTCGTGCTCGAATCTCGTAGTTATTTCTTCGATTGAGGCTTTTAGTGGCTCTGTGGTTTCTTGCAAGTCTCGCTGAGAAACTCCATGAAGTTTTATCGCAGAAGTATCCCGTTTAATAGGAGCGAGCTCGTCTTTGATGAGCTTCCGGATGTCGTCGATGGTCGCTGCACCAATTCCCGAAGAATGTCTGGAAGTCGTATTGTTGTTACTGCCGCTGCCCTCGGCGCCGGCCAGTTGATCCTGGAACCGTTGCTGCAGTGCACTGGCAAACTCCTCGTCGTCGATCCCGTCCATCTCCTGTAGTGGGCTGTGTTTCCAGTGTTGCTTGAACAAGTGCTGGACAGGTGTACCTGGCGCACGTTTGTCGACAGCCTGCATAGAAGAAGACATCAGTGTGGAATCGAAGTGTAGGGGAACGCGGAAAAGGGATGTGAGGAAATAAGTAAGTAAGATGTCTTTAGCCGCTCTCCGTAGTAGATGTCTTGAGCCGAATTTCAAACATGTGGCAAATCCCTTATGTTTTTGGACCCTGACTCCGCCGATCTGCGTGAGGGGCACCGCCGAATTGCAGACATGTAGCAAATCCCATGTGTTTTGTGACCCTGACTCCGCCGATTTGCGTGAGGGGCGCCGCCGAATTTCGGAAATGCGGCAAATCCCTGACTCCGCCGATCTGCATGAGGGGCGCCGCCGAATTGCAGAAATGTAGCAAATCCTTTGTGTTTTTGGACCCTGACCCCGCCGATCTGCGTGAGGGGCGCCGCCGAATTTCAGACATGTGGCAAATCCCTTGTGTTTTTGGACCCTGACTCCGCCGATCTGCGTGAGGGGTGTCAATTTCGCCCCCCCCTCGGCTCCCCCCTCGCGCGGCCCATCAGCATGGAGCAATCAGCAGCAAGAAGCAGAACAGAGGAAGCTGGGAGCTGGAACTGGCGCAGGCATTCGCACCTGCATATGGTTGGGCTTTTCGCCAGGCTGAATGTTTGGCCCGGCGAGGGGCACCGACAGGAGCAGCTTGGCCCATCCTGCGACACATAAGCGCAAGACGCGGGAGACGGCACGGGGAAGGGACGCCCGAGCGATGGCGAGTATGATGGGCCTGTGTTCCACCACCACCACCACCGCAAGTTGGAGGGAAGCAGGGGGAGGAGGAGGAGGAGGGGGAGGGGGAGGGGGAGGAAAAGGGGGGGGTGGAGGTGGAAGACAGGCACAGGGCAGGGAGGTGGAGGAGGAGGGGGAGGTGGAGGTGGGAGGTGTAGTAGTAGTAGTAGTAGTAGTAGTAGTAGTAGTAGTAGTAGTAGTAGTAGTAGTAGTAGTAGTAGTAGTAGTAGTAGTAGTAGTAGTAGTAGTAGTAGTAGTAGTAGTATAGTAGTAGTAGTAGTAGTAGTAGTAGTAGTAGTGTAGTAGTAGTAGTAGTAGTCGTAGTCGTAGTAGTAGTAGTAGTCGTATAGTAGTAGTAGTAGTAGTAGTAGTAGTCGTCGTCGTCGTCGTCGTCGTCGTCGTCGTCGTCGTCGTCGTCGTCGTCGTCGTCGTCGTCGTCGTCGTCGTCGTCGTCGTCGTCGTCGTCGTCGTCGTCGTCGTCGTCGTCGTCGTCGTCGTAGTAGTAGTAGTAGTAGTAGTAGTAGTAGTCGTAAGTAGTAGTAGTAGTAGTAGTAGTAGTAGTAGTAGGAGGAGGAGGAGGAGGAGGAGGAGGTGGAGGAGGTGGTGGTGGCAGACAGGCACATCAAAGTTGCCGTCTGGCCCCGGGTGGCGCGGAGGCGTGGCGCGAGGCCTCCCGTGGCCCCCGCTCGTCGGCCCCCCCCGCCCGCCAGAGGTCTACATGCTTGGCAGACGGGGGCCCCGGTGCTCTCGGTGCTCTCGGCCTCCTCCCAGGCCCCTCCTCCTCCTCCTCCTCCTCTCCTCCTCCTCCTCCTCCTCCTCCTCCTCCTCTTCGAGTCCTCCTCCGCCTCCTCCTCCTCCTCGTTTATCTCCTCCTCCTCCTCCTCCTCCTCCTTCCTCCTGTCTGCTCCCGCGGGTTAGACTCGGAGGCGACGGGAGGGGCGAATATCGGAAAGTGCGCCAGTGGATTTTTCTGAATACATTAAAGGGGGGGGGTCCAGACCCCCCCCCCACCCCCCCCCCTTGGCGCTGGAAAGGGGGGGAGGGTCGGACCCCCCCCCCCTCGCGTAGGGAGTACGGAGTTGGACGTAGGGAGTGGTGAGTAGTGAGTAGTGAGTTAGTGCGTAGTGAGTAGTGAGTATTGGGTAGTGAGTAGTAGTGAGTAGTGAGTATTGGGTAGTGAGTAGTGGGTAATGAGTGGCGAGTAGGGAGTAGGGAGTAGGGAGTGGGGAGTAGTGAGTATTGAATAGTGGCTAGTGTGTACTGATAAGGGAGTAGTGAGTGGCGAGTAATGAGTAGTGAGTAGTGTTTTGCGAGTAGCGAGTAAGGAGTACTGAGTAGGGAGTAGGAGTAATGAGTAGTGGGTAGTGAGTAGTGGGTAGTGAGCAGTGGGTAGCGAGTAGTGGTAAGTAAGTAGTGAGTGGTGGGTGGTGCGTAGTGCGCAGTGAGTAGTGAGTAGTGAGTAGTGAGTAGTGAGTAGTGAGTAGTGAGTAGTGAGTTGCGAGTAGTGAGTAGTGAGTAGTGAGCAGTGAGTACTAAGTAGTACGTAGTGCGTATTGAGTAGTGAGTAGTGAGTAACAATGAATAGAAAGTAGTGGGTAGTGGCAGTGGGTAGTGAGTAGTGAGTAGCGAGTAGGGAGTAACGAGTTGTGAGTAGTGAGGAGCGAGCAGGGCGTAGTGAGTAGTGAGTAGTGGGTGGTGCGTAGTGCGAAGTGAGTAGCGAGTTGTGAGTAGTGAGTAGTGAGTAGTGAGTAGTGAGTTGCGAGTTGTGAGTAGTGAGTAGTGAGCAGTGAGTACTAAGTGGTACGTAGTGCGTATTGAGTAGTGAGTAGTGAGTAGTGATGAGTAGAAAGTAGTGGGTAGTTGCAGTGGGTAGTGAGTAGTGAGTAGCGGGTTGGGAGTAGCGAGTAGTGAGTAGTGAGGAGCGAGTAGGGCGTAGTGAGTAGTGAGTAGTGAGTAGACAGTAGTCAGTACTGAATAGTGGGTAGTGATTAGTGAGTAACGAGTAGGGAGTAGCGCGTAGTGAGTAGGGAGTCGGGAGTAGGGAGTAAGGAGTAGTGAGCAGTGAGTAGTAAGAAGTTGGTAGCGACTAGTGGGTAGTGAGTAGCGATTGGTGAGTAGTGGGTAGTGAGTAGTGACTAGTGACTAGTGACTACTGAGGTGTGACTAGTGGCTAGAGACTAGGTAGTGACTAGTGAGTAGGGAGTAGTAAGTAGTGAGTAGTGAATAGTGAGTAGCGGGGAGCGACTAGTGATTAGCGAGTATGGGAGTAGCGAGTACTGAGTACTGTGTAGTCGGTATTCTGTAGGGAGTAGCGAGTAGTGGGTAGTGAGTGGTGATTTGTGGGCAATGAGTAGTTAGAAGTGAGTATTGAGTAGTGGATAGTGGGTAGTGGGTAATGAGTAGTGATTAGTGAGTAGTGAATAGGGAGTAGTGAGTAGTGCTTAGTGAGTAGTGAGTATTGAGTAGTGGGTAGTGAGGAGTGAGTAGTGAGTAGGGAGGAGGGAGTAGTGAATAGGGAGTAGTGGGTGGTGAGTAGTGGGTGGTGGGTAGTGAGTAGTGGATAGTGAGTAGTGAGTCGTGAGTAGTGAGTAGGGGGTAGTGAGAAGTGAGTAGCGAATAGCGAGTAGTCAGTAGTGGGTAGTGAGTAATGAGACGTGAGTACTGTTTGGGGCTGGGGTCAGTGGTTGGGGTTAGGATTCGGGTACTGGGTTGGGGGGAGGACTATGGGTAGGGGTGGCGGGGGTCGGGTTCCGGCGTCAGGGGGCGGCGTGGCGAAAGGGGGGGGGGGGGGGGGAGGGGGGGGGGGGGTCGACCCCCTCCCTATTGAAAAGGGGGAAGGGGGGGGGGGGCCCCGACGACGGGTCAAGGAAAGGGGGGGGGGTCCCCGACGACGGATCGGGGAAGGGGGGGGGTCCCCGAGACGGTCGGGGAGGGGGGGGGGGGGCGCCCCCCGGCGGCGCACCCTCCGAATATCGGACGATCTGTAACATGGATCAAGGGGGCGTGGATTTGCGACGGGCCCCGATTCCATGGGAAATCGCAGATCTCCGCCGCCGAACGACGCAGCATTGGCTGCGTGTTTGGGCGGGCACCTCCGCCGATCCATGGACTTGGCGACCGCGCGCCAAATCCATGGATCGCTAGTCCATGCTTGCGCGTCCGATTGTAGTCTCGGAGGCGACAAGAGGGGCGACTAGCCCAGGGGCGGGCATTGCACCATCGGCGCCCCTGGATACAGGCATGTCTCTCCCCTGAGCTATTCGTCGCCCCCGACAGGCCGCAGCTCTTGAGCTTGGCTCCTGGGGGCATGGTGGTGGAGGCTTCGTCTGTCTGACGGCCCGTGGCGTCCGCCTCCGCTGTCACCATGCGCGCGGCCCCCCCCCCCCAGGCTGGGGAACTTCCAGCGCCGGTGGTTGCTCAGAGTGGCGACCGCCGGTGGGACGGGCATCCCTCCGCTGCGGGGCCGATGTCACCGCGGAGGCCTCGGCCCCCGCAGCGTCCCGAGTTCTCGGACCGGGCGGAGGGGCCGAATTGCCCTAGAACCGTGCGGGGGCTCCTCTTCCCTCCTCCCCCTCCCCCTCTTCCTCCTCCTCCTCCTCTTCCTCCTCCTCCTCCTCCTCCTCCTCCTCCTCCTCTTCCTCCTCCTCCTCCTTGTCCCCCTCATCCTTTTCCCCCTGCTCCCCCTCCTCCCCTCCCCCTCCTCTCCTCCTCCTCCTCCTCCTCTCCTCCTCCTCCTCCTCCTCCTCCTCCTCCTCCTCCTCCTCCTCATCCTTCCTCCTCCTCCTCTTCCTCCTCCTCCTCCTCCTCCTCCTCCTCCTCCTCCTCCTCCTCCTCCTCCTCCTCCTCCCCCCCTGCTCCTCCCCCTGCTCCCCTTCCCCTCCGTGGGCGGCTTTTGCTTTCAGAGCCCTGGAGGGTCGCTTCTCAGGAGCTCTCGGGCCACTTCCCGGCTCGGAGACCCCGCCGCCTCGGGGCTGGATATTGCCGAGGCCGCGGGCCGCTCGGGAGGTTCGGCCCCGAGTGCGCTGTCGCTCCCCGCAGCGTGGCGGCCGCTCCGCCCAGCAGGATGTCCTCGCCCTCGTCGCTCTCCTGCCCTCCACCTCCCCTCCCTCCCTCTTCTGTTTCCCCTTCCCCCCCAGCCTTCCCCTCCCTTTCGTGTTCTTTTCCTCATCGCCCCCCCCCCCCCGTCGAGGCGTGTCGTCGAAACGTCGAGGCTGGACTGTGGGTGAGGTGGGCTCGCTCCGCAGGCCGCGGCGATGGGTCTTGGGAGGAGGAGGAGTGGGAGGGGGAGGGGATGGGAGGGGGGAGGGGTGAGGGGGAGGTGGAGGAAGGGAGAGGAGAGGAGGAGGTGGAGGAGGGTCAGGAGGAGGAGGAGGAGGAGGAGGAGGAGGAGGAGGAGGAGGCGGAGGAGGAGGAGGAGGAGGAGGTGGGAGGAGGGAAGGAGGAGGTGGAGGCGGAGGAGGGGAGGAGGGGAGGAGGAGGAGGAGGAGAGGGGAGTGAGGAGGAGGAGGAGGTGGAGGGGAGGAGGAGGAGGAGGAGGAGGAGTAAGGAGGAGGAGGAGGAGGAGGTAGGAGGGGGTGGAGGAGGAGGAGGAGGGAGGAGGCGAAGGATTGGAGGAAGAGGAGGAGAGAGGAGGAGGAGGAGGAGGAGGAGGAGGAGGAGGAGGAGGAGGAGGAAGAGGAGGAGGCGGAGGGGGAGGGGGAGTGGGGGAGGGGGACGGGAGAGGGGGACGGGGGCAGGGGGGAGGGCAAGCTAGGTGCGGTCGCGTCATATATGACATCCTACCCCTCCCTCCCATCCCTTATCATGGCGTAGATCCCCTCTCTACTCGCACAGTCGGATGTCGAGCAGGGCAATGATCCCGAAAGGGTACGAGATGCATTGTAGAGCACGGCGTGGCATGGCGTAGAAGAGCACCGCAAAGCGTAGTACGTCACAGCATGGCGTGGCGTGGCGTAGTGAAGAATTGCTTCGCAAAGCTTTGCAACGCAAATGGCACTGGAAATGATGCCAGCGCTGCAGCGGGAGCACGAGTCGAAACGAGCGGAAGCGCGGAAATGAGGCCAGCGCTGCAGCGATAGCATGATTTGGAAGGAGCGGAAACACGGAAATGAGGCCAGCGCTGCAGCGGGAGCACGATTCGGAACGAGCGGGGCACGAAAATGAGGCCGTCGCCTGAGCGAGAGCAGCATTTTGAAACAATGCAGGCGACAAACCAACTCTGGGGACACTTGAGCGAACAAAAAAACTACGCTGGGGGGTCGGACACTTTCATACCGTCATCAGGGGAAGAGGGAGAGTAGTATTCATATTGAGTAATTGTGGAGGGGGAGGGGGAGGAGGAGGGGGAGGGGGGGGGGCAAGCTAGGTGCGCTCGCGTCA